GGAGTTGTCCTTCACCAATGTTGATTCACTATAGCAATTCCCCCCATAGAGAATGTTATCTTTCATCGGTCTCGTCTCCGTCGCTAATCTCCTCGCCTTGGTGCTGGGATTCCCTGCCAGGGAACCTTGATGAGCCCTAGGGGCATCGCTAATGATACTACTACTGTTTGTCCTACCCAGAATGTCACTACTTCGGCAAGGCCTCCGTCGAAGTATCGTCCAGTTAGGTTTGTGTCTTGACACAAAGTGGTTCGAAGGACACCACTGTATTACGCCCGCGCCAAAAGAACTACGTGTTTGTTGGGATCATTTTTGACAAGCTGATGGTCATCGTCGCGGCATCCGTCCTACGAATGCCCGAGGGTATTGTCAGGGAACTTACTGAAGGACTGGCAGAACCATAAAGGCCGCTTATGCTCCCACGATGTGAAACTTCACTGTCACTGTGATAGTCTCAAGTCGACCCCATTTTCTTCGACACCGAAGGATGGTTGGACTGTTGCTGATCTCCGCAGTTATCCGCCTACACCAGGCTCGGTGAGCACCACTCCCAGTGCTCCTTCTACTACTAGGTTGATTCCAACTGTTACACCGTCGTCTGTTAGTGGTAGACCTGCCGGGGGGATTTGCATTGCCTAAGGCAATTTGCCTTGGTCTTTATAATTGGAGCATTTCCTACATGACAACAAGATGTTTCTACTACGGTCATTTCCAGGCGCCTTTAAGCGACAGGCTTTTTATCGTCTTAAAGACGTTTCCTATTTTATAATATTGTCGAGCTTTCTTGGTTCGATTAGGATTGCAATGATAGTAGTTGAACTAGGTCTTTGTATATTAGTGTGGCTTATTGGAGTTTCACCCGTCTTACGGGAAGTGGCGTAAAAGCCCGTGAATAACGCGATATTCGCGGTGATATGCAGTCGTTGTGAGATATGTTTTTCACTTGTGTTTTTCATATCACTAGGGTGAAACTCCATTGTTTCCTTCCTGGTTGGGTCCTCACGAATTGTTCTCTATCTATGCGTCTATTGCTCGTCGTCGTTCCTGTTGTTTAGTAGTCGTTGCCAGACGCGACCGAGTGCCTCCCCCGGTCCTCCTCGTACCTGCTGTCCGAATGGATTCTGTAACGATAGTATGCTCGTAGGGGACGTAGGGCCTCAGTGTATATATCCGTCACCACTACCGTAGTGGTGACGGATATATACATTGAAGCCCTACTAGTGGCACTACGGCTACTGGACTCTCGGGATAGTTATTGCAAGGAGCCCGGTACAGGTGCGTAGTACGCACGGCGTACTGTAAGGACTGACAGACTCCAGTTGGTCGAATGATACCGTTTCCCTTCAAGAAATGTGACGTGCTACTGTAAAGATATACGGCAGGTAGCTCCGGCCAGGGCCTCTCCCGGTCATGAGCCCCCAGGTTGGGTCTCAAATGACTGCATTTACCCGACTACTACTACCACTACTGTAATAATTACAGTGTAATTTCCCCGTCGTCGACTCCTACGAAAACTAGTACTATTAGTCGTGGTTCGCCCCTTCCGCCTTAATCTGGTGGTAATGGGAGTCGTTATAGTATAAGAATGGTCGTGTTGTTGTTGTTAGCAGCAATTTGAGTTTGATCGGTTGTTATTCTCCTGTGCGAGAACCTATCGTATTTCTTTCACGTTCAACGAACATGCTTCACTGGTGGTGTTGTTCTGTTCTTTGGGAAAGGGAGAATTTCAGGGATCAGTTACATTATGGCATTCATCCCATATCTATATCTCACATTCACCTTCGTTGCAGCACAGAGGAACATTTCGGTAGCTCCTAGTCGGACAAGTCCTCCTACCACCCCAGGGCCAGTGAAGTACTGTCCTATTGGCTGGTGCCTGGATTCCAAGTGGTTCAAGGAGCGTCCGTGTATAACTCCGAAGCCCTATGTCCTGCGAGACTGTTGGAATTTGTTCTGTAAAATTGATGCTAATCATCGGGGCTTCTATCCCACGAATTCTCAAGGGAGAAGACAAGGAACTTATTGTAAAGATTGGCAGGATCCCAATGGTCGAATTTGTTTCCACGATACGAGCCTGCACTGCCAGTGTGATAAACTTCATATCACACCTTTTTCACCTCATTCGAGTTAACTCGTTAACGAAGGTAAAACCGATCATTGGCGACGTTTAACTTCACTGCGAATGCTGGTCACAAAGTGACTGTCTTCCTGAACTTCGTAGCGAACTCCCACCCAGACCGGTGAGGGACAAATATTGTGTTGCGACTCGCAACTTGCGAGCTTAGCTAAAGAGTGCCTCAATAAGGCTAGACCAAAGCAGATGTTGCAGAAACAGCAACATATTGTTTGTTTTGTTTTTTCCATGGTAGACCGCACAATTGTTGTTAGGCGCAATGTTGTTGACCCTCTACTTGAAGGAGAGGTTGTTGATGATGGCATCAAAGAGATGTTGGTAGAGCAGCTCGCCAAAGAAAAGATACTTTCTACTTTGCTCTTGTCGAACGTCTCTGATGAAGTTGTTAAGAGGATGACTGAGCGTGTTGCCGAAGCCGACAAGGAAGCCTTCAAGCTCTATGCTCTGACCCTTATAGATCAAGCCAAGGCTGCTCAGGGCGCAAAGCGTCGTAGGGTGGAGTCTGAGCAAGAAAAGGAGGATTTCGACAAATTCAAGAAGAACATCCAGGATCGATTTGGTCCAGATGTGAAGGTCCTGCCACATTGGTGCCCCCTTACCGCTTGCTCACCGTCTATCGAGCTCTCCCTTTGATCACATTGCGGCCCCCGAGTTTCTGGCCAGCGCTGCATCCACTTGAAGACGAAGGCATTCAGCAAGCTGAAGATGTTAATACTGGCAA